TGATCAACACCTTAGCAAGACCATCACAATGCAAGTGAGCATTTTAACTCCACAGGTTTTACTGCCCAGGTACTCTTAGTCTTGCTACCTAACCTGCTTCCTCCGTCTCGATGACCAGGTCCATCTGCCAGTAGGCAGAACAGCAAACTGCCTACTACTTCTCATTCCCCAAACTGATGTAGCTATCAGCATCTAGGTAAATCTACTTAAAACTGGTAAGTCTGCAGTGACAGCCTGAGAACACAGAACATATCTTAAGTCCCACTGACAGTAGCATAAGGGTTTTTAGACTACATCCTTAACATTCAGAAGAGGAAGATGTTTTACTTCCTCATTTTTATATAGTCATGATCAGTAGCCTGCACTTGGAAGTTGACTCAGTTTTTATTGTGATAAATTTTTGTCTTCATTATAAATGAGATCAAACACATTCAAATCGTCAGCTCATTTTACATTCAATGTAAATAAAAGAGGGGGAATAGAAAATATTCTGTTCAATAATGACAGCTGATAAATCTTTGATGGCTTCATGAAACATAATGCTAACTCAACCATTTATATTCTTGTAATTCTTGTTACCAATATTGCCTTATGAAATTGTGCTATTTCCAGTATTTACACTTCCTAATTTACAGAATTTGTGCCAAAAAGCCCTAAATAGAAACCATTTGTAATTTAAACAGAATATTCTACTTTTCTGATATTAAATTCATCTTCACAACACATAAGGGAAATCAGTTGCCGGTGTAATTTTAGATTGAAGTTTATAATGTATTATTAAAGCTGGTGGAAAGGGGTGAACATCTCCCAATTTTTGTACCTTGCTAAAAATTTAAGGCCCTGAAGAAATTAAGGTGTAAGTCATATTGGTTTCTACACACATCATATTAATTTGTAAGAGCAGAGCTATATGTAAGGCGACTTAAGCAAGATTCTCCCTCCTCAAGTTTACATGTTTTTAAACCAATCTTAAAATACAGCCTCTTTCCTGGTTCTGTAGTCATACTGTTTTGGCATGAGCTGTGTTCCAACAGTATTTCTAAGTGCAAAAAGCTGTATTTTTCCCTTTTCATGACTGCAATGCTGTTCTGGTTTCACCACAGGTGATTTGTACCACCCTGCAAAAATGATGGAGCACCCAAGCTGCTTGAAGGTACGTGTAAAGAAAAATTAAACAAGTCATGAACAGGTTTAAACAAGATTTTATTCTGCTACTAAGTCAGGTTTATTAGATCATTGTTTATTGCTCAAGTAGCTCTATGGCATGTCATACATAAGACAGTAAAAAAAAAATAGTCTTTTCTCTCTCTCTCTCTCTCTTTTTTTTTTTTTTATTAAATATCCTATGTAGTTGCTGGTCAAATAAAGCAGCAGAATTCCTCCCAACCCCCAAAACATGCCATTCAGCTGATCAGAACACTCAGAAGCACCTAAAAAACATTTTCCATGGTTGACTGCCTTTTTCTTGTTTTCTTATAAATGTTCTGTTACCACACACACCAAGTATGTAAATCTGCTGCCTTACTTACAGCTTTGAGCTGCCCACCTCTTTTTCTTTCTTTTTTTTTTATTTTTTTTAAATGAACAGTGACTAGTCTGGTTAACAAAACTTAAATTAATCTTAATATGATGGTATGATTATCCATGTGAGCACAGATCCCAAGCTCTTTTGAAATCTTTAATAAGTTATTTCTCTGCCAAATTCCAATAGAAGTTAATATCAAAACAAACGAAAGCAAGCAAGCAAAAAAAGCAAGTAAAAAGACTTCAGTTTAGTCAACATCATATTGTGAATTATATATTTGCCTAGAGGAACAGCAACCACCACTTTGGCAGAGTGCTTCCATTGCAGACTAACATGCGACTGTGGGATTATCTTGGTTTGGAAATCCCAGATCAATCTCATCAGTTTAAACTGTCAACATGATCAACCTTGCAATTAAATCAGCCTGTATCTATTCTTTATTTGTTGCATCTTTTGTGGTGAATCAATATACCACAGTCATGTCTTAATTTCCACAATGAGCAAGTATTCCCAGGCATCAGAATTACGTTACATAAATAGAGATTTACTGCCACTGAGGGTTTAAAAAAAATAGACCTATTTTATTGTTTCAGCTGCACACTGACGCAAAGAAGCAACTACTACGTGACAGAAAACTTAGTCACCAGTAAATTGTTTTCTTTAATGTAGTACCCAAATATTGCTGAAATGAGATATTCACAGCGCTTCCCTGTAAACATTAGAGCTCATTATTTTCATAAAATATTCTTAACCAAATAAATGGCTCACTGATTAATACTTAAATGACTCTAAAGTGCAAGGAACAGTGGAAACGGAGATGTTTTGAGGCACCGGTCACAGCGCGACGCGCTATGGCTGAGCCAGGCTGCCAAGCGGCTGGTGCCTCCAGCTGGAGGCCTCCCGTCCTCCTCCACCCTCTGGCACCAGCTCTGGTGCTCATCAGATCCTGAAGGGAGCCAAATCACCTTGCTAAGCCAGCAAAACGCTGATCCCAGCTGGAAAAACAAAGCAAGCAAAACCAAAAGAAGTTTTCTGCTGATTAGTAGGTTTAACCAGCCCAGTGTAGAGTCCAAAAGGTACCAGGCCAGCTCAGGTGGGTAAGGGGAGGCAGTGCTGCAAGGCTAGGACAGGGCATGGAGGGACCTATGTCTTTCAGCAGCAAATATTTGGGCTGGTGCACATGCAATGTGCAGTTTCACCCCAATTGTCCTGCTCTCAAGCTGGAAAGTTTTAAGCTCGTGCTTCCACAGCTGAGGGCTCTCAGTCTGCCATCTCCTCCATTTCAGTACAAAGAAAACTGATAATTTAAATCTTCACTCAGACAGATCTATCATTCAGGCTCCTGGAAGGGTGTTTTTGCCGAAGAGGTACCAAGCTGCAGGAGAAAGGTGACAACAGCTTCTTAAGGGCACTGACTAGACTTGCAAAACCTGTTAAGCTAACACAAGACAGGCTCGCCATGAAGTTTGAGAAAGCTCCCTGCCCCCTTTCAAGAAGGCAGATACATGCAAGAGCACACAATATGTGCCCCTTCAAATAGATATTCAGATGGCACAGCCAGTAAAAACCTACATCTCGTTCTTAATCTCCAGCAGTGCCCGAGCTACATTAAGAGGATGGTGGCTGCGATGACCTGCTGTGGTTTTCGAGCATGGGAAGCAAATTCAGCCCTAAGCTGCTCCAAGGCCTCAGCCGTGCGCTTCATCCTGGCACAGAAACACCCTGAGCAGGCCCTGCCTCTCCTCACCTCGCTCTTTCACCAGAGTGAAGACACACCGCACAAGTTGCAGAGCAGTTCTCCAGTATTTCCTGCTTGCTGAATGGCTTTCCAGAGCACACAGATCTCCACTAGCTGTTGCTGCCATTTTAATGCCCTTTAACATTGTGATAAATCTGGAAAGCAGGTTCAGTTGAGTGAAAAACCTGACGATATGGTGGTGCACTCCAGGTACTGATCTTGACCAAAATGAGGGTGGTGCTGGATATGGTGGTGCACTCCAGGTACTGGTGATCTTGACCAAAATGAGGGTGGTGCTCAAATGAAAAATGTTGGTTTAAGGATTTGCCTAATTTACACTACAGAGTCTTGGTGTAACTTAACTTACATAGAAAGGAGGAACACTAATGGGCTTAGCGTTGTCAAAGAAAAAAATCACTTTGAGCTTTATTCAGTCACTGCATTAAATAGTCCATTCTAACGTAAATGAGAGCAGAAACAGATCTGCAAGGCACTGCTCCTAACGATGCTGCTTATATTTAACTTCTTTAATTTAAAAGCAAATTATATTCTAGGTGTAAAAGTAGTGACCTTTACAGTGAGCACTGCCAAAAATCAACTGTAGCTGGGGAATTTTCTACCGTTTTCTACCTCATGATAGCCTGGATCATTCCTGGTCTGCAGCAGCAGCTTCAGGAGGGTCCTGCGGCGAGGCAGGTTGGCTCAGGTAGTCCCAGGTAGTCACTGTTTTGCAGTGACATCCCACCCTTTGCTGGGAAGGCTACAGCCACCACTGCACATGGTCAAGCTCAAAGGCCACGCTTAACACTTGGCCCCTTGCTGCTGTGTCCTTGCACACAGCGCTAGGACGTCTGCAGGAGGAAGCCGCTGCCTTTTGCAACACTAACGCCAGCAGCCTTTGCGGTGAACTCCGAGAAAAATGTCTTCCTTTTCCCCCTCCGCAAATGCTCATAAGGGCAGATGCCAGAGATCATTCAACCTGCTGCGCGTTAGCACTCTCACTACCGCATTTTGTGTGGCTCTGGCAAACTCCTTCCCTTCCCGCCCTGCAAAACCCTCTAGCAAAGTTAGCAAGCCCGTTTTGACTTCCCATGAAATTCACATTAAACAGTGCATGTGTGTGTGTGTGTGCGCATATATATTTGATGCTGGGAGATGAATACCAAATAACAAAGTTCCTACTAGCTTCCATGAGGGCAGACAGACCCTCCCTGAGATACCCTGCAACAACCTACAGCAGCACTAAAGGGTGTCCAATTAGAAGGACACTTCTTTCTAGCACAGTACTTAAAAGGCTGAAAAAGGTCACATTAGGTAAGACTTCAGAAAGAACAATGCCAAAATCAACTAGGAATTAATTATTAAAAAGTGATTAAGTACACCTTGACATATATCAGCAGCAAAATTCCACCAAGGCCCTTCAGTCAGAAAAACTCAGGCACAAAGGCTATAAAAGAGAGGAAGAAAAAGCCAGTACTGATAATAAAAACTGCTTCATCTCATTCCTGGCCTCCTGGCTATACTAATACCAGGATCACAGCAAGTGTACATTGGCCATCAGATACTTAAGTTACCTGCACCCGTGTAAATCTGCATTATAAACAAAAGGAAAATGGCAAATCATACTCACTGCCCGCTGTTCCTGACAGATATATGACACACTGCCCCATAGAAAGGTAACAGCACACTGAAGCAAGAAGAAATAAAGAGAGCATAGCATAAATCTGTATTTCCTACCTCTGCTCGACCTTCATAATATGTTAGCATGGACTTTGTAAGTACAAAAAGCCTCTCTTTGTAGTTTAAGGGAGAAGTCCTCTTCTTCTGCTGGGATCTTTTAATCAAAATCTCTTGTAGGATAGTAGTCATATTCATCTCAGCCTCCTGGCACCTCCGCTTCCAGCCATTGAATATCAGCTCCTGTGAAGATGAGAGAAATCAATCATTGTGGTATTTTTGAAGGATCACAGATTTGCAGATTTCTAGTAGAAAGATTCGTGTTGGTAAATGAAGCTACCTGAAAATACAGAAAGCTGGAGCTCATTTTAAGCACTTGGAAGTTTAGGAGAGCTAATCACTAGACAAGAAAGCTCCGGCATTGCTCAACTGAGGGCTGCACTGACACATTCCCGGGAAGCCCGAAGCTCTACCCAACGGGAGGGCGTTGCAGCCCGCGTCACAGGCTCCGCCAAGGAGTAGCCTGAGACTCGCTGCATGACAGCAGTAGTGAGCAACTATTCTTCACTACAAGGGCAAGCAGATTCTCACTGCGTCACCTACTGTAACATGACATTTTGTAAAACAAAATTATTCTGAAATTTGACTCTGCCAAGTCCTAGAAGTCCTGAGTCAAACTCAGTCCCTTGCCATGTACTGATGGTTCAATACCACATTTTTTTATCTCTCTTCCAGATTTCACATGCCAGATGGTGCGGGCAGGCAGAGCATGGCTTGCATTTGGCATATGGAGCCCCACAGTAAGAGGGAACCCCCAATATGATACCTAAGTACAGCTCTGGGGGACAAGCGGGAAGAGATGTAAGGTAACACTTCAAAATCTTTTTCCCTCATGATATTTTATTGTGAAGAGCTGCATGTATGTGTTACTTGCAAATCTTGATACACAGAACTGAACAGGGATCAGTAAAAGTCAATTTGAAAATTTACCCAATTACACTAATTTTCAGAAGCAAACGGTGATTTAAGAGCATGTTTAAGAAACAAGAATTAAATAAACCTTTTTATTATTATTATTATTATTCCTCCCAAAATGGTAAACACATGCCCTCCATATTCTTTTAGAAAGGTTTCATACTGACCATCAAAAAGTTAAATTACTTTGGATGGGTCGCACTAGCAAGCTCAGGCTGCTTTGCACAAGAACCAATACCCATAAGATGGACTCGGGGTGCACCAA